TGGCTTCTATACTACCCCGGTGAAATGGATCAGCGAAAGGATCTGAGTCCCCGCTCCCACTTCCTTTACCCCACGGCCTCCCTGACCCTGAGGGCTCCCCCTCCACTCTCCTGAGTAGCAGAGTCCTCGAAACCCCAACAAGGCTGGGCTCGGGTTTCCTGGGGCTTAATCCCCGACCTTGTAGTCACTAGGGGCAGGAGTTAGGGTGTCCCCACTCCGGGGTGCTCTCTGCACACTGCAGGCTTTCTTGGCCCAGTGATCATTTCATAAGGTTCAAAGCAAATACAATTTATTAAACATCAACTGATTAAAGAGAAAAGAATAAGAAAAAATGAGAATGGTTAAATGAGAACACACAGTCCTGCTCTGTAGCACAGGGATATCAAAACAGCAGCCTGCAGAGTGTAAGGACAGTTCACAGTCTCTTCCTTAGAGGCCCCTTAGAGGCCCTGGATGTGCTGCAGGGGGGCCGCAGGCTGAACACAGGGTCTGCGCTCCTTGAGCTGTGTGTGCCTGGCTCTGTTGCTGCAGGACTGCCTCTCCACACAGCTTGCTCCTCTTAGCTGTCTCTTAGCTCTCTCCTTGCTCAGAGAGACCCAGAAAAATCCCAGCTCACAGGGAGGACGGGGCCTGGCCTCTCGCTTTCCTCACTGGCCTGTCCAACCTGTCAATCAGGCCGAGCTGGAGTGTTGGCTGCTTTCCATTGTCTCTGGGGTCTGTCAGTCTCATGGACCCTTCCACTTTTGACATTGGGACCTGGAGAACCAAAAACTCCCACAGAGTTTTAGTAAGGGGCTAACAGTCCCCTTACATTTGTCTGGGTTTGTTCCTCAGCAGATCTCAGGAAGTGCAACCCCCAGCAGCACCCTCCTTAGTGTTCTCTGTGGGAGGAGCAATGCTAACGAGAGGAGATACTAAATCTCTGGCTGTGTGCCTTTCCCTGCCAATCTTGGGGGGTTGCACTGACTCCCAGATAACCTCTAATGAAGGGAGGTTGCAAGTCACTACACTTGAAGACTATGCTGTGCTGCAGAGAAGCCGCCATGCACTCCCGGTGAACCCAAACTTCTTCACGTTCAGGCTGGATATATCACTGAAGGAGGCTTGCGTGTGAGAATTCCAGCAGTCCTAGTCTGGACCAGGGCAGCACTCAGCATAGGCCACATGGAAAGTAAAAGGCCTGTCCTAACACTTCCCAGAAAACCCCATTTGGTTCTAAAAATGGCTGGCGTCTAAGGGGAGAGAGTCGTCTTGTGAGCTGCTGAGCGTGTGTGACACACCCAGGACTCCAAATGGCCATTTGGGCTTCAGGCTGGATAGAATCATAGAATCATAGAATACTAGGCCTGGAAGGGACCGCGAGAGTCATCGAGTCCAGTCCCCTGCCCTCATGGCAGGACCCAGTACTGTCTAGACCATCCCTGATAGACATTTATCTAACCTGCTCTTAAATATCTCCAGAGATGGGGATTCCACAACCTCCCTGGGCAACTTATTCCAGTGTTTGACCACCCTGACAGTTAGGAACTTTTTCCTAATGTCCAACCTAAACCTCTCTTGCTGCAGTTTAAGCCCATTGCTTCTTGTTCTATCCTCAGAGGCCAAGATGAAAAAGTTTTCTCCCTCCTCCTTATGACACCATTTTAGATACCTGAAAACTGCTATCATGTCCCCCCTCGATCTTCTCTTTTCCAAACTAAACAAACCCAGTTCCTTCAGCCTTCCTTCATAGGTTATGTTCTCTAGACCTTTCATCATTCTCGTTGCTCTTCTCTGGACCCTCTCCAATTTCTCCACATCTTTCTTGAAATGGATCCGTACCCTTTGCAAATTACAGTGGCAAATACCGGTGCTGCAAGCAACCTGATTGCAACAGTGCCTTGACAAGCTTTCGCTTGGGAAATTGGCTGCGTCAGGTTGTGCCTCATCATAATGAGACTCTTCATGTTGTGCGATCAATAGAGGCAACGCTGCAGTGCGCAAATGAAACGTTACCTGTTCTCAGGTGAACATTTAGCTTAGCTGTGCCAATGCCAGATGTCAAACTAGTCCACTTTCTTGCAGGGCTTGTCTTATCCCACCACAACCGAACTCTCCTCTGTTACATCCATGCAACTGGGATTACACCAGTGTAAGTAACAGAGCTAGAGGTTCAGATTCCGATTTTAGAACGAAGTAGTCTGACCATCCCAGTTTCAATTCCCAATGACTTCTTGCATCTTATTGGTGTGTAAAGGCTGTAAGTTCAGAGCCTGGATTATGTCAGAAATGTAAACATTAGACCAGTGCATGTTGTGGCACCGTTGGTGGTATTCCCAGCATTCATGTGTCAGAGTCATTATGGAGAAGATAGTGTTGTACAGTCTCACTGTACTCACTACAGCCAGGGCTATACAAGCAGAGAAAGTTGACCTAAGATATGCAACTCCAGCTATGAGAATAGAGTAGCTGGAGTCTATGTACCTTAGGTTGAATTTCTATGGAGTTCTCACAATGGGAGGTCAACAGGACCTCTCCCATCAACTTCCCTTATTCCTCACAATCCGGTGGAGTACTGGAGTCGATGGGGGTGTCATCAGTGGTCAATGTAGCAGGTCCTTGTTAGACCTGCTAAATCAAACCCCGAGAGATCAATCTCTGCAGCATCAATCTTGGGGTAGTGTTTAGAAGGCCTTATCAGCCCCTTTTCTTCAATCACGGTGAGAAAATAATGGGCCCAGGTCTCATTTACATTAAGATCTCTCTGCGCTGCTCTGGCGAGGAATCCTGAAAGTGGAAATCCTTGACCTTTGCAGTCATGGGAAGCGGCCTTGATGTAAATGAGAATCAGTCCCCCTTGGCGTACAGTGTATATTTTTTAGAGAGACAAGGCAGGTGCAGTAATATCTTTTCTTGGACTAACATCTGTTGGTGGAAGGGTCCAGCTCTAGAACTTCTAGGAGCTCTTCGGTTCTGGGGAAAGCGACTAGTGTGTCGGAGCTAAAAATATGGGTCCGATTGCTAAGCACAAGGGGTTCGCTCATGCTGTAGGAGACCACTGAAAAGAAAGAGGGCAGTGAAGGCTTAGCAGGCAGGCAGGGCTGACATTAGGGATTGATAAGCAGGGCAACTGCCTGGAATCTCATGCCAAAAGGGGCCCTTCAAAGCTAAGCTGCTTGGGCTTCTACTTCACCCTCTGCGGCGGGACTTTGGATTTCAGCTTTCTGCCCTGGGCCACAGCAAATCGATTGCCAGCCCTCCAGGCAGTGGGGTGTGTTACAGATTGTTGCCACAGGCCGGTTGTAATAAAACCAGTGCCTGCTTAGTCTGTGTTTTTAGTGTCTAGCAGCATTATGAATTATACCACAAAGGATGCATATTTTTCTTACTAACATTTTATTACAGAAAAAATGGGATTGATGATGCTACACATTATTCTCTTTGTGTGTGTGTTTATCATCCTCTTGAAATAACTCTGCTGTATTCATTACCTTTGGTGAGACCGCGTAAGGCTGACTTACAATAGATCTACCCATTGCACAAGATCCTCATCCCTCTTATAAATAAGTATCACGTAATCAACTGCAGCGGAGCTACAGGGATTTACACCAATTGGGATTCTGGCCTCTGGTGGTTTTCCACCACACTTGCAATTCATATAACCTTAAAAATCCACAGGGAATGTATGTTTCTTAACAAGTGAATTACTACATTCCCAGCATCTTCAATATAACTATGAAAGACTCAGCAATATATAACCATACTGTGTAACTTCTGGCATTGGAAATAATTTCACCATCAGTGAATTTATGTACTAATATTTCATTTCTTACATTTTTCCTGACAAAGTAAGAAAAATCCACATGAAACAGTGCCTAATATTTTTCCTTGCAGTCAACTAAAATTCTTGACTAGTTAATTAGAGAAACAAAAACATATTGTACCAGATAACAGTCTTTTCCCAATCTATTTTACTGCAGTAATTTCTAATCTTTGATTACAGCTTTTGGAATATATAAGCAGAAGAACATGTGTATTTATTGGCCTGTTGGGGATTTTGTGCTTAACTAGTGTCACACAAAGCAGTGGGATTAGCACCCCTTATATATTTGGGATCAAAAGTAAATGATAGGTAAAGAGCATCATCTTATTTAACCAGGCTGGTGCAAATCAAGAATAACTCCAGTGAAATCAATTAATTTATACTTTAAAAAAATTTCACATTAGAAGCAGGCACATACTTGAGTGCAGTATAGAATGGTAATGCGCTTGATTTTGCGAGTTTAATATCCTCCTTCATAGACTTTTATCACCCAGATTCCCTTAATTTCTTTTTTTTTATCATGAAGGTAATTTAGGATTATGATACTGTTCAATCCTTTTCATGACATACGAGAGCCGCAATGAAATCATTTTGCCCCGGTAATAATAATCAATTATGTAGAAGATGCACTGACGTGACATTGTTCTCAGTGTGTAAACTCAAATCACAGCAGCATTTCAATGATAGATTTTGCCCTGTGTAAGCGGGTGCAACTTCATGGAATTCAGTGAGGGACCTTGACACCACTACATTTTGCCACAATGTCTTCCAGTCTCCACTGAAATCCATTTTGACATGACAGCCTGCATTCGAACGAACTTGTAATGGCATCGCCTACGGAACTCCATAGACTTCCAGTGAAACTGTTTCTTTTACACTTTTAACTTTACTTGGAAATTCAGTCTCTGTAGAGGGACACGGGAACCAATGGGAGGATGCCAGGATATGAGTGAACAGAGATTTAATACCACTATCAGCGACCAGTCTGAGAGGAACAGCCACTAAGCTCACTGCATTCAGAGTTAAGTGCAGCTACCACAGACAAGACTTTGCTTGGGCTCACTTGGCATTTCATATGCCACGTAAGAGAGGGGGAGACAGTTGCTGGAAGGGGATCGTTACTGTTATTTTGGTTACTTGAATGGTTAGCTCTTTGGGGTGGCGGCCATCTTGTGCTCTGTGTACAGCACCTACTACAATGAGGTCCTGGGTAAGGCCTGGAGCTTACAGCCAAGAGAAGCCTGAGGCGGGTTGCAGCAGCAGGTGCCCCAGGCAGAACGTGCTAGCGGCGCCCAAGCCTGCAGGTCCGTCAATGGACTGACTTCATCATCAGGCGCCCCGTGATGTCATCATCAGGTGCCCCAGGCACCCCGTTGAAGGCGGCGTCCTAGACGGCGGCCAAGTCCGCCTATAGTCACGAGCCGCCCCTGCTTACAGCTACTCCCCCAACTCAACTAATGATTGTGGGGATGGGGAGCACTCAGCTACTATGGAGACAAGCCCTAAAACAAGAACCTGCACAGGGAATCATTGTTGAGGAAATCGTAACATCCAACTGTCACTATGTGACTATTTCTGGATAGAAGCATCTTCCCCAGACAACCATCTCTCTCCTACATCACTGCAAAAAGCCCCAAACTTTGGATTGTCTGTTTAATTTACTTGCACGCTAATTGCCCATAGTCCCCATGTATTTGTATCTTTTAGAAAGTGCACGCCTGGCCATATATCAGACACAGCAGTGACATGGTATCCCTCCCTGGATTTGAAAACCTCACAGAGGGCTACAACAAATATTCTTCGGTGGTACGTCAGCTGAACACTTCAGTGTCTGATAAAAGGGTTATATAGTCAGTAATGTTTGAGTGGAGAGAATGTGGTTTTAATGTGTTTGCTTTAGCAAGCACCAGTTTATTGGTCCCTGTTAAATTAGTCAAAGCGCCCGAGGAGGTTTAAATGCATGCAAATTGATGTCAGCACAAGTATAATGTGTCCATTACTCACCAGATAAAAATTGTCAAGACTCTGGCTCCTCAGTGCCAATTACTTTTGAAAATGGGGACTAGTCCTTAATCACTTAGGCCCTTTTGAAAATTACTTTTGGCAACTTGCGATCTTACTCGGCAAATGGAAAATGTGAATTCTAGATAGGTGTAACAAAATTTTTAGAAAGTGCGTGTCTTCAGTTCTAACTGGCAAGATGTATAGGATGGAATAAATCACATAGAAACAAAAGTACACATGTTGATAGATAGGGCCTGATCCTGAAATGTGAGGGACACCTGCAAATCCTGTGGACATCAGTGGGATATGTGGTTTCCAAGCACCAATCAGAGTCAGGTCTATGTGTCCCTGGGGCTTAATTCTGCCTTCTTTATGCACCCAAATCTCCCACCTACACCACTGGGAATGGACTCTCAGGCCCAGAGCGTATGAATGTTTGCAATCTGTGAGTTATGAAGAAAATGTTCTATGTTACTGCACCTTTTATTTGCTCCTCTGCGGGCCGGATTTAATCTTCCTCCTGCTCACAAATTGTTACAGTCAAAAGAGGCAAAAGATAAGCTGACTTATACTAATGTTTTCTGACATTTCCTAGGGTGGAGCTGCCCTCTTGTGGTGAATCCGAGCTTCAGCGCTAGAAAGGAGGCAGCAGCTGTCAAGCTATGTGGCTCCTTCAGTGTAAGATGATGTGTGTATGGGCCCGGCACAAGGGGACACTTTGCCTCCAATTTGTCTCTTGTTTTAGTGGCTGACAATCTACCTTCTTCCTAGCTTACTACTGTTCTTTATTCACTTCATGGGCGCTGAGGTGAACTTCACAAAGAGCTCGCCCTTTGACACCTTGTGTGGGCCCTGCATTCTGAGGAGAATTTCACCCATATGTACTGAAATCTACTAACTAAATTTTAATTGGGGTGGGTGTGGGGGGAAAAGACCCCATAGGGCCCCTTTCCTGACTTGGACAATGCCACGTGGAGGGACAGGAAACCCCACGAATTCTGGCTGCATTGTTCCACTAAATGGACTGTTTTCTTCCACTTTCTTCCAAAAAGGGCAGGGGTGTGGCCTCCTAAGCCCACAAATCTTTCTGGTTCCAATGGCAGGACAATGCATGCTTGTCATATATAGCACTGGGATCCACAGGCCGCTGTCCCACCCCAGCTACCCCTTTTGTGGGGGAGGCAGGACCAAACAACACATGAAGATAACGTTGTTGTCTTGCACCAGAGGTGGTGACCTTTGACCTGGGGGCTGCATCCGGCCCCTGAGGCTCGGGGCTCTCCCTCAGCATCAGGGAGCCAGTGCCGGCGCTCCAGCCCTGTGACCCCCACCCCAGTCCACTGCAGCACCCCCACTGTGCCAGGAGCACCCTACCTCCTGCCCACCTCCCCCACTCCCAGCCCGCTCCTGCACCCTCCCACCCTCCCAGAGCCACCAACCCCTGCACCTCAAGCCTGCTTCCTGGCAACCCCCTCCCACACACTGAATCCCTCTTTTTTTTTGGCCCCAACTGAGAGTCTGGGGAGGGCTCATAAAATCTCCCAGCCGGGCCCCTCAGGCTCCGGCGTGTGAGGGGAAAGTGGGGAGCGTCTTTCTGCTTCTCAGTGAGGTCAGGTCAGTACGGTTTTGGAGTTTGAAGTGTTTTTTTAATTTCTCACTTTTGTGCAGCCCCCATGTGAAAAGCAGCCCCCGACCCAGAAAGCTTCCCACCCCTGCCTTCCACAGAGATTTCATGGGGGCAAGGAAGCTGGGGGAAGAGGGCAGGAAACAGTGGCACAGACAGCAGCTTTACAACGGCTCACAAGGCCCCACTCGTGCCCTGGAAAACATGTCCTTTGTTCTGCACCTCCCAGGCTTGCCGTAGTTTTTATCCTACACAGGGCTTGCCGTTTGGTTCAATGACTCTCAGCAGGCCTGCAGTACAAATGGTCCCAGCTCCCCGCTTTAATCCTGGTTAGCAGGTGCCTAGGGCAAGCTCAGTATTTGGGGAAGGGAGATCAACCTGCATGCAGGAGCAGTTAGGAGGGACCCTAGGTCGGGTCTCTTGTTTGAGGGTCTCTTTGCACTTCATTCCAGAGGTGCAATGGCAGCATGTAGACGTGCCCGAGCTAGCGTTGGTTGAGCTGAGTGGTTGCTCTGCCTTGCAGCAGGAAGAGGCTATGGGGTTCAGGGAACAGGACATAACAAGGAGTCCAGGGCCTCAGTTCTATTCCTGCTTCTGGTTCTGATTCTGTGGGCAAGTTGCATCATTGCTCCAAAAGACTCAGTTTTCCCATCTGGGAAATGGGGATAATAATTCTTACCCAGCTTTCTGAGCTAGAGCCATGGGAAGAGTGAAATAAGAGCTAAAGATTCTTAGCACTTCATATGCTGAGCCATACACAGTCCTTGATTACCGTGGCCGATTGCAGCGGAAATATTGCCTAATTGGCTTGCCTGGGTGTATGGCAAGGGTGTATGGCAAGGGTGTATCTCTCTGCTGATGCTGCCAGAAAAGAAGTGCCAATACTGGCCACCCAAGTGAAAAGCTTTTGACCATGAGATTTCACTGCCCAAACCATCTGCTTGTCTCTAACTCTCTGAAATGAGTTGAGTTCCAGGTTAGTTCTTTGGTAACGGGCAGCGATAGGAACAATCCTATATACAGCTTTGGAAAGCTTAGATTTTTATAAGCAAATATAGATTGCACCACACTTTTTCATCAGTTTGCAGCAATAATCATCAAAATGGGTAGATAAGCTAAGTAAGGCAAATGCTGCTTGAGAACTTGCCATGCAGATTCAGACTAACACGGCTACCCCTCTGATACATTTGATTTAAGGCTCTTTACTGTGTGTATTTTGATGTGGGAGGTTGACAATTTGTGGTTTAACAGTTGCAAAGCTTTCGCTTTAGTGAATCTTTGTCGTTAAAAAATTCTCTAACCTCCCTGTAATTTCCCACAACTTTTGTTAAAATGTAAACAATTAGATATAACTCTTTTTTAAAAGCTTAAACATAAATATTAATGTTATGCAAATGATTTTTAAAAATCAAATTTTGGCAGAACTGCCTAGGTGTGACACTTGATTGAGTGTAGTGACCAACACACAAACCTAGCATTGCTGACACCCTTTGCTTCACTCTAATCTAAGCCTCTCATTCCTTCCCTAGGGAAACCTGTTCAAAAAGCATTGAGCCTGGATGTTGCGAGTATTTCAAGTATAGCTGAGAGTAACATGGTAAGTGACTTGGTCTCAGTTACTCATTGCGGAGAAAGGGGCTCTACTTCTCTGAAAGGCCTCCCACTTTGAGATGTCCGCGTTGGAGACCATGGCCAGCATCTCCAAGAGTGACAGATGATATTGGGCACCTCTCCTCTTGGGAACCCAACATGGCAATTCCCAGCTCAGCCACAGACATCCTGTGATTTGGGTCGAGAGTCACTTGGGACCAGACCCACAAAAGTATTTAGACATCTAAGTCCTTTTCGGTGGGAATCAGGAGCTGAAAAACCTTTGATGATCTCACCTTGGTCTCCCGGTGCCTCCGCTGCTCTTCTGAAAAATGGGGATCAGAGCACTGGAGAAATCAAAACCATTCGGGATTACAAAGCTCTCTGATGGTGACAGCTACAGGGCTGTACGGACTGGGTTAGACTGACACTGCTCACTGCACGTTGGTCCACTTTGAGGGTTCTGAAGCTGGGCATCAAAACCGGTGGCACAAAAAGTTCATTATTCCCAGTAGAAGATCTTAGCTGTGGGCTCCAGCTGCTGTAGTGTTTCACCTCCCAGTCTGTTCCCCTGCAGAGTCCCTCCCACCCCACCCCACCCCCCGAAGCCATCTCCAGTCCTCCTCTTTAAGACTGGGGGGGGGAGCAAAGTGTATTAAAGCTGAAGAGAATCTCTAGCTTCAAAGGGCTTGAAGGACCATCACTCCAAAGAGAAATATAAAGGGAAATCTTCCCCCAAAGAGAGGGTATTTTTATCTGTCTGATCTCCCACCACTTGTAAAACATCCCCTTTCTATTGCACATATTTCCTTCCCATCCCACCTAAATTCCTTTTGTGCCAAGGAGAACATTACAGAGACATACTCTATGGCTAGATAAATAATTGAAACGACCCAGAGGTTTTCCCCTTCATCACCTGTATTAATAATTCACTGCACCAAAACTTTTAACATCGTTTCAATCAGTTAAGCCGTGGAATGGAATTTACTACACACACACACACACACACACACACACACACACACACACACACACACACACTTCTGAGAATCAAACCTGAAGAGCAAGGGCAACATCATTTATTTAGCACCTTCCAGGGCAAAGAATTTTACAAATCATTTCTTGAACATAAGGGAATCGATTCCCCCGTTACTGAAATGCACCCATATCTGGGTGGGAGCATGGTAGCTGTGTAACGCAGCACAGCAACACTACACAATTGTGAAAGCTGCCTTTAATTCATCAGCAAACTAGAGAGCCAAGGATTGCCACAAAGTCTCGTATATGAGCAGGAGGCTCAGTAAAGAACTGCCTTTGTATGTATTACAATTGAGCCCCATTGTTCTTTTATCTCAGGGACACCATAAGAATACTTCAAACTGCTGGGGGATTTTAGACAGGCTGGATAGCGTAGCTAAGTTGGAATTTGGCCAGGTCACTGGAATTAGCACCCCCTACTCTGGCAAAATGTGCTGTGAGATCTTTAAAGACCACAGCTGGTCAAGAGTTTGGTTTTTTATTCACCTACCTACAACTTTAGCCTCAGAGCGTTCCCTAGCCCCTATCTTGGGCTCAGTTTAGACTGCTGGAGAGGAGTAACACGGCAAGCTTTGACCCCACTACAGGATTTGCCTTAAATAGCATGTTATTTCCTTCAGCACGTCATCCCCTGAAATACCTCCCTTCCGAGCACAACCCCCACATCAGAATGTAGCTCCCAGCAGTGAATGAAAGGAGCAAATACACAGGGCCAGTGGCATGGCTCACTTGTGGGCCTACGTGCTCTTCTCATCACCATGGAGCACTCTGCATGGTCTTCCCTTACGCAAGTGCCTTCTCCAACTTAAGCAAATGAGGAACTTTCAATAGGGCGAATGGTACAAATGCAGGTGATTGGTCTTAGACGTTTAGTTCTGGTGAGAGATCAATGCAGCTGTATTTGCTTACTTGTTCTCCCTCTATGTGGCTATTAACTATATATTGCGTTACTGTGTAGATTTAGACTGATTGATTGATTTCCCATACTGAAAGCTATTTCGTATGTAATTGATGTAGGTGGGGCTTGAATAAGCCAGTCAATCTCTCTGCTTCTCTGGTTTCTCAGCTGAGGATTGTGATATGCTAATACTTGATTACTTAAAGGACATGGTTTTAGACATGAAAAGTCCAGTACAAGAGGGAGTATTGTGACTGTTTATTGGGTATAAATAAATGGAAAAACCTCAGGCAAACAGAGGACATTCAGGTTAGGATTCGTGTCTTCCGACCTTGTCTTGGGCAGTCCAAGCCGAGTTTTGGTGTGTTACATGTCCTACATTTAATGCACTGGCCATTTCTTTTAGGAAGGCCGGCCGCAGTCTGGATGTGGTAGCAAAGGAGGGTGAGGCAAACTTGCACACACACAGTTGTGAGAACTACGCCTCCTTAATAAGCATTTGGCAAAGGCGATTGACACCAATGCCTCCTCCACAGTCTTGCTGCTTGTCTTCTCACACTTGTCATTCTCCTTCAGGACTATTCCGCTACCATCTACCCGCGGCCGCACTGGACGGCCCCCCGCCTGGTTGTGCACAATAACAAGAGCTTCACTCTGGCTGCTTGGCTGGTAGAATTGCTCTGGGTGCCAGACACATACATCGTGGAGCCTAAACAGTCTTTCCTGCATGATGTCACCATGAGGAATCATCTTATAAGATTATTCTGCAATGGCACAGTCTTGTGTGCTTTGAGGTAAGTCACATGCTGGCAGTGGTGAAGAGCAGATAACTAAAGCCACACTGGATCAGAATGTATGTGGGCAAGAGTGGCCATCACAGGTAACAAAAGTTTTGGAGTTTAGACAGTACAGGCAGTCCCCGGGTTACGTACAAGATAGGGACTGTAGGTTTGTTCTTAAGTTGAATCTGTATGTAACTCGGAACTGGCATCCAGATTCAGCCGCTGCTGAAACTGAGAAGAGCAGATAACTAAAGCCACACTGGATCAGAATGTATGTGGGCAAGAGTGGCCATCACAGGTAACAAAAGTTTTGGAGTTTAGACAGTACAGGCAGTCCCCGGGTTACGTACAAGATAGGGACTGTAGGTTTGTTCTTAAGTTGAATCTGTATGTAACTCGGAACTGGCATCCAGATTCAGCCGCTGCTGAAACTGACCGCC